GAAATCTTTTACCTCAGAGGGCTAATTCTCTTCTTACAGGGCAATTACCTTCAGGATATGTCAAAGCCAAAAGCCATAGATCTAAAGGTGGCTGGTCCTCTAACTCATGTCACTACACATGGATGGCATATCAGAAGTGAAATAAGTCAATGCAAATCCAACTCACTTCTAGAATTACTTCCCACCAAAAGAAAAAAACAAACCCTCAAAGATCCACTACTTAATGGAAGGAAGAGTAGTTTCACATAAAAGCATGGCATTATTCATTCATCAATCTATTGCCAATTATACCCAAGTCCCTCTTCATGAAATCTATACTAGGAGGATAAAAACTTTAGTTGATATTTTAGGAAATGTAATTTTTCAGAAAAAAATAGTCCAAGTTTTATTTATTTTTCACAAAAAGACAGTTCATGTGGCTAATACTAGAGAAATTATTATCAAATAAAATTGCTTCTATTTTTGTCCAATCCACTGAGAAGACCCAGGACATACACAGAGATGGGGACCCAGCAGCTCAAAAGATGACAGTGTTGGATTCATATCCCTCAGAAAATCAAAGTGCTACAAACCAGGATTTGGAATAAGGAAGTTCCCTCAGATTGTTCAGTGAGAACAAGTATTCATTAAGCACTTGCTACATCCCAGGCAGTATGCCGGGGAAATGCTAAGAACAAGATTTTGTGAGGGGCACAGATGACCTTGGCCTTCAGCAGAATGATAGATACTGGCACCACACGGCAATGGGATGAGTTCAGTATAAATAACTATTTAAGAAATCTGGGTGGAAAAGGAAGACAGAGAATTTTAACAGGTAAATGTGAAATCAAAGAGTATGCTATCTTTTTATTGTTCTTGCCTTCCTGTTTTGTTTTATTGTTGCGTCTCTAAGCATGTTTAAAGGCCGACAGAAATTAGCCTTTGGCAAAAGACTGAGTGAAGCTCCCAAAAGCAGGAGTGCGCGGGTACAGAGCCCGGGACTGACACCCATGTGAGGGTAAATGCAATCTCTCAAGAGTAGCTGGGAGGAAAGGTTTTTTGGAAGAGAGTCTCCCCTGGCAGCTCTATGAGTTCTGAAGTAGGTGGCAAGATTATCTGCTAAGGGTACAGATTAGGTGAAAGCATGAGAGGTTTGAGAAGAGCGGGAAGTGCTTAAAATATATTTTACAGAGAACAGAAGCAAGTGCTGATGAGGCAAATTCTAGGAAATTCTTTGATGACCAGCTGAGATCGGTGACTATGGCTTTACAGTACAAATCTAGAAGATAAGATTTTCCCAGCAGGTTTCAGCAACTCAGTCCAAGCCCTAAAGTAGATGAAAAGTTGGAACCAGGGCTGAGAACTTGCCATCCGATGCACAGAAAGATGACAATACAATTGAACCTACTGGTCCGAGAGTGACCAAAGGCCAGGGAAAAGAGCAAGAGTAATACAGGTAACCAAGTGAGGGTTAGAAACAGAAGATTGTAAGCACAGAGTGGGTGGTCTGAACTTTGAATTCCAGAAGTGGACCTGTTTCAGGCTGGGGTGCTTCAGTCCTACTTGCTACCCCAACCCCCCGCCCCCAGGGGACTCGTGCTCTCAGCAGGCTCTGCTCTCTCCTTTTGTCCCTTCCAGGTGTGTTGGCTTCTCTTTGGGCCTCACTCTCCCTGGTTTGTTCCCTAGTCCTGCCCAGACCTCTGCACAAGATCCCTTTATTAAAATCTCCTTATTTGAACCATGAATTCTGATTCCTGATGAGTCCCTGACTTATCCAGATAACGTCATGTCAATCATGTTTGACCCTCATTAAACTTCAACTAAAACCAAAATATTCCTGGCTTTTTGTCTTTCAGGAAAATTGTAATACAACAAAAGGTAAAATCATGTACCTCCAAAATCACAGAACTTCAGATTGGAAAAGGTGTTAAAAAACTCATCAATACCTTGCTGATGGACAGTGACTAATGGGGTATGTGGGGGGACTTGGTGAAGGGGGGAGTCTAGTAAACATAATGTTCCTCATGTAATTGTAGATTAATGATACCAAAAAAAAAAAAAAAACCCATA